ATGTCACGTAGAACTATGATACAATAAAATTTGTTATGTCTTTTCTTCATATTAATCTGTGTTTATGAGGTAATTTTTCAAAGAACCTTCAGGGGGTTTAAGGGAATGTCTTCCTTTGGCCTCTATGAAATTTAATCTTGGCCTTAGGAAAAGCAATTATCTATTTTCTGGCATGTAGTATTGTATCATTATTAGCATATGGTATTAGGTATTTTATATTCATTACTCCATTTGATTCTTACAACCATGCTGGCAAAAAATCTTTATTATGCCCATTTTACAGATCAAATGAGTTTAAGGGATCTAGTAAGCAGCTAAGCCAGGATCCCAGCCCTGCTCTATCTGACTCTGGATGTAAGGCTTCATTGTGTAACATGAGGTTCTTCTCCAGAGACACAGACTTTCTAAATTGCTCCAGTAACACAATGGCAACCAGCAAGCTAAATAAACCATGGCATCTTTTAATGGCCAGGAGCAAGCCATCTGGCTTTCACATGTTTATTTCTGACAAAATGAAGTATTCTATTTCTTCAAGAGGAAGATTGTTTTTTCGTTCTCTAACAACTTTCAAAAAAACCACACACACACAAAAATAAATCAGACATTTTGCTGATTTAAGCTTAAATCCAAAGTACGCTGATGCATTTTCTCTGGATGGGCAGGCTATCTTTACATACATTACAAAAGGGCAAAAAGAGTTTGGGAATCTGTCAAGCAGAGAATAGCTTAGAACCAGCCAGAAGGCTAAACATAGCTGGGTCTTTTGTCAGATATGAACATTAGCTGTTGTGTTTCCTCAGGAAGTAAACTCTGCCAAAGTGGTAGATGGAATGAAAGTCTGTATTCATGTCCTGGGCACAAATTTGCATCCAAGGCTTATTTTAAAATCTTATTAGCTTAACATATCATTACCTCAAAACTGTGTTCTATGGCTTATAGAAAGTAGAAACTAGTTTGAGCTGGATTTGCCCTCTCTCTTACCCAAATTCTTACTCTACAGATCATTTCTGGTGCACCTCCTTGAGGCAGGTAGGGGTGAGGGATAAGGCTCTGATGGGGTTTAGGGCACGCTACCCCAAAATATGGTACCTAGGCATATTAAATATTTTAAGGTGAAGGAATTGAGAAAATGACAGAAGCAGGAAAGTCACACTGACCTTGTCCTGACCTTCTCCCCTGAAGCAGGTCTTAAACTTGGTAAGTTCTCTGACCTTCCCCTGAAGCAGGTTATAAGACCCTTATGTGAGAGATGCCCTTCCTATACCCAGAGGAAAAGACCGTCCTTATCTCTGAGGACACAGGGACACAGACAAGAGTGTGAACAAGCAGTTTGCCCTATCATATGTCTCCTTGACTGTTCACGTTTCATTAAACTAGCATAAAAATACTCAGGTTTGTTTAACCAGGTTTTTTTCCCCCTGGGTCTTCATTCCCTATGAAGGCTTCCATGTCAAGTAAAAAATAAATTTGTGTGCTTTTCTCTTGTTGATCTGTCTTTTGTTAAAGGGAACTCAGCCACTGACCTAGCATAGGTAGAAGGAAAGGTATTTTGTGTCCCCTACAGTCTGCACATGGGACAGTGGAAGCATGTCGGAGCTTACTTTCTCACTCATGGGTGGGTTTTCACCTCCCCAGTCTGGATGACTCAGAGGCTTGACGCCTAACCACAGGCACAAGAGACCACAGTGCTGAAGGAGCATCCTCCCTCTTCCATCAGTAGCAAATGACCCTCTGGCTCTCTGAGATAAGAATTGCACTCTCAATAGACATTTACAAAATAATAATGACCACGGTAACATCTGAAAACATGATAGAATAGAGACCACTCAGAATTTAATATGAGATTGCTCTGGATTGACTAAGGACACATCTTTATTAAATCATCTATGAGCCATTTAAACAGAGATGCTCCTGGAATGGAATGACCTAATTACAGTAGTGCCATAGCTGTATCACAGGGGAAGAGCTCTCAGCCAGGAAAGCACAAATGCCCGGGGTAGTTTACAAGGAATTTGACAGTACAGTTAGATGTGTTTTTTTTTTTTTTTTAATAATTACAAACTTTTTTCAAATAAATATACCTTATTCACATAGAAAAAAAAATGATACAATAGCCTTATAAACAAGAAACTGGTATACTTCCCCCAAGTAGCCTGTTTAGAAAGGTCTATGCATAACCAAAATGCTTTGGGATGGTGTTCCCATCTTGAGTGGCATTCAAAGAAAGAACCAGTACACATTTCCCATTATACAGATGTACCCTGTACAGAGTCCATGATTAGTTGAACAGCTACAAAATTCTGATTTTTGTGTGAGTAATGGTAGCTAAGTGGTACCATGTAAAATATTTGTAAGAACTGACTGATTGTATATGAAGTTTGACTACTCACCACTATAATTTTAAACCTACTTACACCAAACCTAATATTACATGCATTTAAAAATCAAGTTATTTCCTCTGCATTTAGTGGCAATTTTTCCCCCTTCTCCTGAATTTTCATTATAGCTAGTCACTTTCCTAGGAAAATTCAGTATGTTGAAAAAGAGAAACAAATCCGATTTTAATCCTATTTCTAAAAATGAAAAGCATCTGCCAACACCTAAGAAAATATCCCCCATCACCTTTGTAAAGTGAACATTAACCTAAATAGATGTTAAATCGCTCCTTTTCTCACCCTCCTCTGCTAGTCTCATCTCTCCCTGCAAGGCAGCCCTGTTGAACCAGTGCCTCTTCTTTCTCACACGTGTGCTGGATTACAATTTAAATGCAAATAACCCTGAGCCTTTTTATCTAAATTCGTGCAGATTCGGTACAGTTGACTGTGCTGATGCCTGTGAAAATTAAACGAAGGTTCATCTGTATTCTAACACATGCATTACTTAGAGTAAATTCAAAAGAGCAATTCATCACCGCTTTTAAATGAAACACTGGAGTTGCAGAGTGCCTAGGTTACGGTGGAATGCCTTCCTTTTATCACACAGGGAAGCCTTTCTACAAAGGCAGCAAGATAGGAACTTCTCTTATTGTAGCTGTTCAATTAGTTCCCAATGACATTAGGTAATTAAAATGAGACTTCATTTTCATACGAATACAGCTAGTTGAGTGGAAAAGATACATTTATGGTAATGCTAAACACGACGGGAAGACAATCTCTATGCATTCCAAATACCACTGACAAAAAAATTATCAACAATGATTTACCAAACTGACGTTACTCTGGAAGATATATTTTTAAAAATTTTTTTATTTTTTGCAAAATCATCTTTCAAATATAAGGTTATTTTAAAATAATTCTTTGGTTAAAGTATAATTAAAATAAAAAGTAGAAACTCCTCCAAGCCTTTCACTACAGGGTGAAAAATATCCCCCCCTTTCAGCCATCAGATGGCCATTTAATCAGCCATTCAGATTCTGTGAATCTAAATGTAATGGAAAACACTGTAATCTGAACTCCATACTGGGGTGAAGCAATACGCTCCTACCTACCAATGCGGTGATGGTGAAGTGAGCCTGGGAAAATGAAACCCTCAGCTTATGCATTAAAATGTGCCAATTACTCCAGTCCACGGAGGAATAGATGTGGCACTTTAAAATCACGGAAAACGAAATCCTATCTATGAATAATACTGGGGCATTAGCGGATTGATATGGCACACTTGTAGAAGCAGGAAACTGTTTTAGACTTTCAATCCCAGATTAAATCCTTTAGTTAATTTCATTTCACCTAGTTTATTTCAGCTAACCTTCTAGTTAAGAAAAAAAAAAAAATCCTCTGAACAAGAAACCATTTGCTGCTTATCTGGCATTTCCTTCCTTTCTTTTCCTTCCTTCCTCCCCCCCCCCTCCACACACACACATCATTTCTTTTAATAGCATCGACCTCAGATCAGAAAGAACCAGGTTAATATTCAGGTTGTAAATATCAACGTATCATTTTTGTATGAATGTGAAATTGGGTATTGTGGTCTATCTCTTATATTACGCATAGATGCAACATGATTTCCAAAGAATTTCTCGGTTGGAGTTCAAGTTTAATTTTTTAAGTAGGTACGTGTGCAATGAGAATTGAATGTGAATTTAGATCATTTAGGCCACTTTGATAAGCAATTTGGATAATTATAGCAGAGGAATAAACTCTTTCTTAATTATTCAGAAAATTATTTCAGATCTCTGCCTCTTTTTGCTCATGTAGACCATTGCCTAAGGCTGTGTCCCTGTTGGACTAAGGACAAAGAATTGTAGTCCAGTCAAACTGATTTATCAGGTTATCATAGGACTGTGACAACTGAGAGAGATGGAGAGCATAACCTATTCAGGACTCTACTTTAGACAAGTGAAGACACTGCCCAGAACAGACTACTACAATTTCAAGGAAATCTGATGTGAGGTGTTTAAGCATTATCCTGTGCACTCAAAGCCATGAACGCTTGTGGTGGATTTAATTATGGATTGGATTAAACAGTAGATTCATTTCATTGTAAATACCAGAAGAATGAATGGCAGCAGCATTACATTAGCTGTAATGTGACTTTTAAGACCTTTAATGGGAGCATTTCCTTCCCAGACATTTTAAGGTTAAAACGTTTATATTAACATGTCGGTCAGCACAGGGTTATTTCTATACCCAGAAGCTGCATCAGTGTTTGTGCAATGCTAGAAGAAATCACAATTTATTTCTTAAAATGTCAAATTCATGACACATTTCTCTAAGTGACTTAAAAAGATACAGCTAGAATCCTTTTTCTGATATAGCCAGCATCCTTCCCCTTCCTCTTATTTCCAGGGGTCATCAAATTCCTGTTTCAAATACAAGCATAGATTTATTTTCATACACCATATGTTTTATGCATGTGGGTTTTGAAACACCATACATAGATTTGTTTTATGCTAACTAATGTTTTCTTTAAATGGCTAAGATTTCACTTTGCATCGCAGACCATCGTCTGGGGCCGTCAACAATCAGCTAGCCACACAATTAAATAGACATTGATCACTGATGTTTTGGTTTGATTGTCATTTATTTTTCGTTTAAATAAACTCCGCCTAAATGCAGGAAGTAGTTGTAATGAGAAACGACAGGACATGGCTCTCCAGCTTTCCTCAAGTAACCCTACCTCCATATTTTAAATTATCATAGAAAAACAAACAAACAAAAAAGGCAGCACAAGTGCAGTCATGACTGTCATCATTTAAATTAGTTCCCTGACTTCATTACACATACCTGGTATAATTGATGCATGTGTGGGCGTTCTGTTATGGTTGACATGTACAGCAACCTGACCCTTGATATGGTCTGTAAAGATGTCCATATTGCACAGAATGAGATTCTTCCTGACTCAAATAATGTGTATAACATACATCCTTTCAAAATGTCAACATCCTTAACTAGTTAACATTGTATATAAGTCTAGGGGCAAAGACAAGCAAATGACGGTAATATAGAAGTGCCACGGCTCATTAGGCTACAACACAGGTAATCCCAAGCCACTTTATATTTTCTAAGTTCTCTGCACCTACACTATAATACTTCACACATTTATCTGATCTTCCTCTTGAGTATCCAAAAGTGCCTTGGGGAGCAAAAGCTCTTTGTCTCCCCATTTCCCAGCTAGAAGCAAGGGAGAAGGGCCATAACAAGAAGGGCCAGCTGCTCTAGAGAAAGAGTGGCACCAGGGTAAATGCTAGAGTCCTCAAGCAGGTGTCTTGAGCCAGTGACACTGGTGTATGAGGTCTATGGAGGGTAGAATCTGATGTGTAACCTAAAAATTCTGTGCAGTGCATGTTTTCTAATAACCTTAAAAGGATTTCTCAGCTTGGCTTTGCACTGGAAAATGGAGTTCAAAAGAAAATCCCATCCCCAAACTGGCAGCTGAATGTCCCCCCAGCTGGATTCTGGACAGGCATCTTCCTCTTGCCTCCCTCCACAGAGTGGGCCAGCAGTTCTCTTTGGGGGAGTGGGACTCCTTAGGCACACACAGACGGAAGGAAGAAACATTCTCTGTTACAGCAGGTGCCCCGATTTAGGAAGACAATTCTCCAAAGCCATGTTAGCTAAGCAAGAGTCCAGAGAGAATGATTTCTTTCCCTGAATCAAGTCTTTTTCTCATTTACACAGTCTCATCATAAGAACTTTAAGCATGAAAGGAAATATGCTAAATTATTCTGAGCTGTCCACTTAGAATATGGTGCGGATTTTTCCACTGTTACTAAACACACTAAAAGATACTTTTCCAAAAGGCCATTTCTTCTTATTCACGCATGTGGTTTATTCTTGCAACAAGGTCTCTCTCCAGTTGAAGCCCCCAGTTGGTCCATGGGTAAGAGGAAGGATGGGTGGATCTGTCAGCTGCCATATTCCAGTTTCTCCTAATTCTTCACAGGAACAAAACCCCAGGTATGGGATCTGAAGCAAGAGTAGCAAAGAAAGGGAAAATAGAAGACAGAGGCTTTAACTTTTACCACAAAGTTGAGGTGGCCTTAGAGAATAACAGGAATGAATAAGGGCTTGGTAGAAATGCATCCCCTTCAAGAATCAATAAAGAAAATGAAATAGGTAAAACTGATAAATTAAATGGAAGAGTATTTACATAGCAAGAGGATTCATCAAAAAGATCCATTAAATGTTGAGCTCCCCTAGCGCAATTAAGTAATTGATTATAGATTGCTGCTTAATAGGGTGGGAGAAAAGAGGACAAAACTATATAATGCTAAGGTGCCAGGAGTTAATTCCTAATTGCAAGTCAATTTAAAAAGGCAGCTCAAACATTTCTGAAATTATACTTAGACACAATGGAAGATTATTCAGTTTTTAAAAATTCATTTCACCCCTGCTTTATTTTATTTTTTGCATGTGTGTCAGTAACATTCAAAGCTGACACTAACATTCAAAGCTTCCTATCTTCAATAGTCATGGCAATTTCAAAACTTACTTTCGTGAATGTGTCCAGAGCTACATTCATAAACAAGACAAAAATCTCTGCCCTCCAGCAGCTTACAGACTAATGTAAAGGACAGATGTGTAAATAAGCTTTTTTAAAATGACAGAAGTATTTCAATTGTGATTGCACTGAACCAGGTTCTCTGGTGGCAGAGAAAGGAAGTATCTAACTTGCCTGAAGGGAAGTGTGTGGGAGGCCGCTGACCAGAAAACCTCTCCCACAGGCAGCCTCGTGGCCTTTCTGTCTTGCTGCCTTGTTCCTGGGTTTACCTTTCAGAACAATCGTTTTAAATTGTTGCTTTCCTCAGCCTACCTGCGAGGACCTCTCTGCCAGCTAAGCTGTGCTTTGGACTCACCTCTGTTCATCCAATCCAAGGTCCCTAAGGGAAATTCAGACATTTGCTTAGAATTCTTCACTGCTTCCTAAATTTTAGCTCTTAGAAGCTAACACCTCTTTTTCTCTTACACCAGGCCTAATAAAGTGCCTTACACAGAGTGCCACTCAATACATCTCGGTAGAGTGAATCAATAAGTGAATGTTCCCAGCTCATTGTAAACACACGCTTCAAAGAACTTCGCTATCAGCCGGTCACTGCATGGTTATACATCTACCAGCCATAGCAGGCCCCATAAATGCAAGAATGAGTTACCTTTCGGACCATCTGTACAAAGTCCTTGGAGTTCTGAGGTGACAACCCCTGAAGCTGGCAGGTACATGCTTCAAGGGAAGATGCGTGGGCCACGATCAGAATGTTATTTCCTGAGGAAAAAAGGCAAGGAATGGGAAGACTGTTTCCACGAAGATGTATGTAAACTTTGTAAATTCTGGAAGCGAAGTGTTCTGGCGACTTGGACAAATATACTCAAGAAGAACACAATACGACCAGGCAAAATTGCAATATTATGAAAATGCTTTATTATTGTTAAATTTTTAATTGACAGCCTAACTTTAAAAAAAAAAAAACTTTTCATCTTAAAATAATTATAGATTTACACAAGGTTACATGCACACACACACACACACATATACATATGAGGGTACTTCAAAAGGTTCATGGAAAGATTCGTATTGGTTCTATTTTGCACAAACTTTTTGAAGCATGCTCATACATACCAGGGAGGCCCCATACACCCTTCACCCAGCCTCCCCCAAGATAACATCTTATGTAACACTGCCAAACCCAGGAAATAGACACTGGGACAGTCCACACGGCTTATCAGACTTCACCAGGTGTGCATGCACTCATCTGAGTGTATGTGAGTACATAGTTCTATGCAATTCTAACACAGGTATGGCTTTGTGTAACTGCCACCACAATCAAGATTCAGAGCAATTCTGTGTCCGCAGGGCTCTCTGTGCCATCCCTTTTAATACAGTTTTAATGCTGCCACTGTCAAATTGTGAGCATTCGAAACTTTCTGATAATAGATGATGTTATGTGTTGCATATCTGTATGGTAGTGAGTGGCTTATGAGAGAAAACTGGAAGGTGGGAGTTATCTGTAATATCCGTAATGCCCAGGGCTATGTACTGTTAACATTTTTGTGTATATATAATTCCACTCTTTGTTCTGTGCACATAAATATTTTAACTTAAAATAAGGGATAAGAATATGCACAGTCTTTTGCAATCATTCTTTTTCACAAAAAAATTGATAGGTAACGATCAGTCCTAGATATCATTAAATATTTGAGTGCAGCATCTAGAAAATTCAACAGCAAACAGTCGTGAGCCTTGTAGAACACTGCTCTTGGTTGGTGGTAGCAGGTGTGTTTGTGTAGGTGTGTTTGTGTGTGGGTGACCATGCTCCTGGATCAATTACAGGCAGAATAGTTGTATGCTGGAGAACTTTTGGAAATTATAATAGGGAATCTCCTTCACAGGGAGCAAGATGAATAGCTGTAATGAAGAATCCAAGTCATTAAGTACAGTAACTACGTGTGGTGTGTTCTGCTAGAGTATTTACCATTTTAGGTACTCAGAGCATATTACAAATTTAATGTGAAAGCATCTAGAAGAGAGTCTAGATATCTATGTCTCTTCTATTAAGCCAGGCTGCCAAAGCAAGTTGGAACATCTTGAGTAGCTTGTTACCCATGATGGAGAAATGATCACATGTTTAAGTAGGAAGTCCAAAATAATACCACCTACCTTTGCCTTTACATTCGCTTATTATTTCTTTTGTTACTTGGAAACTTCTACTGATATAAGTGTCATAGGATTCCGAAACCACTAATTTGCTGACTGGAATGTGAGGTCTGTAATAGAAAAATGAACAAAGGAAATGAAAACATTTTGATCCTGAGACAAAGCGATCGATCTCATGCTAAACTTTTATTTCAAGACCTTCCCAAAGTTCTCATGTATCTGTTTGCTCATTTGCCTAGAAAGGTGAGAGACACGGGGAAGAGTATTTCCACTTATATGAACGTGAGGTTGAAATATACAGAAATAAAGGCTATACATACGGTGTCACAGAGACCAGTTAAAACATGAGACATTCAGCACATGTTTTACTCACAGGATAACATGTAAGCAGTTTGACTAATCTTACAGACCATCGGTTATTGATGGTCCTATCCCATAGCTAATAGGAAGCGAAATAGAGTTTAGATCTAACTACTTAGATCACCAGGGATTTCCCAAACCTCTCTTCAGGAGCCTTACACACGATAAGCAGCAAAGATAGGTTTTAAAAATAGATGTTAGGTCCGTGTGACTTATGAGCTTATGAAAATTTCACCAGTCTGTTCCTTTTCTTTCTCTCTGATTTTAAACACAGATCATACAGCCAACAGGAGGAGGAAGGGAACACAGTTTCTGTACTTCAGGAGCTGTCTGCATGTGGATGGGGTGGGGCAACTATCGATGTGAATGATCATTATGACACCATCAAAGGCATTTAAGAGAATGATCAAAGCAGGGCCATCTTGGTGACCCCACACATCTCCAGACCCGGTCGCCAATGCTTCTACCACCCTTTGGTATTTAGAGTGTCAGTGTTGTTTCTGGTCCATGAGATGTCTATCTTGTTTTTGAGTACAACTGTGTCATTTAATGTTTCCGTTTTCTTATTGTATTAAGTCAGTCTCCGTTGCTTATAACAAAATATCTGGAACTGGGTGATTTATAAGAAAACAAAATTTATTGCTTATAGTTTCTGAGGCTGGGAAGTTCAAAGTCCATCTGGTGGTGGTGACAGTGACCCAAGGGTCTCACATGGCAAGACGGTGGAAGCAGAGAGAGCGAGAGAGCCAGAGGCAGACTCTCCTCTTTTAAAGCCCTCAGAACCATACCCCAAACCTTCATTTTTAATCCATTCACTGCTGCATAGTCCTACAATCCAATCACCTCTTCAAGACTTCACCTTTCAATTACCATAGTAGGATTTCCTACCCTCTTAACAGTCACAGTGGGGGCTAATTTTCTAATACATAAAACTTGGGGGACACAATTCAAGCTCCAGTGTGTTTCGGAGGGATGTTATTCAATCCACTACACTTATTTTATCTTTCCTTGCCAGGTCGTCAGGGTATGGTGGAGGTGGTGGTAAATTCTCAAATAGAATTTATGTGGCATCTTGATCAGAAAACATTACTACTACTACGATGAGTACTAAAAATTTTATTTACCGAGAGGTTCCCACGTGTGGACCATGCGCAAGCGCCCTACTTGCATTCTTTTGGTACAATCCTCCTTGCAATCCTTTTGTAAATCATGAGTTTACAGATGATAAAACTGAGGCTCAGAAAGGCTACAGCTGCCTCGCCTACATTCACACCGTTGGCAACTCTTGGAGTCTGGATTTGAATGTGGCTCTGTGATCTGGTCTGTGAGCTTATCTTCCATACTGGACAGCTTCTGAAAGTGTCCTCACCAAGGTCATCCTTCTGTGTGCTTGGACTTACTGTCCAGAGAGGAAAGATGCTGTTCCCTCTGAAGGAGCTTGCCCCTCTCTGACATTCTTTCAGCTGGCATGTTTCTACTCGGAATCTCACAGCACTTGGGGGACAGGTGGAGACATGTCTCACCACTTGTTAAGGCTGTACCTCATTGTTCTGTAGCAAACTCTTCCTCTCCTCTTCTCTCCCCATCCCCATGTCTCCCCCAGTTCTATTACCATTTACATCATCTGGTCCCCCAGGACACCCCTCTGCCATGCTGTGACAAAAGGCCACTTTGTATGGCCAGGGAATCATTTCAAGGGCGAGCCCACATTGTGATGTGAGAGAGTTATGTAAGTGAAGAACGGGATAGATGCTGGGGTCTAGTTCCTTCTGATCAGTTCTTGCCTTTGGCGTCTCCCAGAACCTTGAAATTGAACCTGTAAATGTCTCCATTGCCTAACCAGTCACGATGGGCATGGGCCAGAGTCAAAGCTTTCTCACCCATCAGCAGGATGTGTCAGCTGCTAGCACAGCTGCAGGGCCCTTGTACTGTCCGCAGAGTCAGGTGGGCTTCCAACCACCCACTAACCCTGGAACCCAGTGCTCCTGGGACAGTATCCTCCCTAGAACTCTCTCCACCCCACCCTGCTTTGGTCCTCTATCTCGAGCCACACACCAGAGTTTGATTTGTTGCCTCCCAACACTCCAGATCCATGCTCTCCCCCCAAATCCCTAACCTCCTCCAAGTCAGGCCCTGTTCTGGAGCCCCACCCAACTGATGTGTATTTTCTTTTTTTTCCTGCCTTGCTCCTCTGGCCCAGCTCCCTAAGACTAGAGCTGCCTTCTCCATCCAGCCCCTAGGCTGCTCTTGCTGCCTGTACATAATGCTTAGATATTAGTCAGCAGCCTGGTTAGTTTCTCAAACTTGACTTCTAGTCCCACCTCCCTCCTGCTCTCTGCCCGCCCTTGTTGCCAGGTAACAGGACTCTTTAAGCAGAGCTCCCTTGACCCATGCTACCCCAGCTCTCAGGGCTTGCCCCTCTGCCCATCACCGCATGCCTTCAATCATTTGGGTACCAGCTACTTGCTTCAAAGGGCCTGGTCATGTGGCATCATTCATTTCATAGGGAGTCTAATTCTAGGGCTGGGTCTCTCAGTGCTTTAACTTTGGCTTTCTCAACTGATTTACAGAATTAGAGGCTTCATCTCCCTCTCTCCCTCCACCCCCAACAGAAAATGGTTGAGTTGAATTTGGGGTTTCTGAAGAGGATAAGAAAATCTGGAGTAAAGACTGCCCTGATCCCCAGGTTCTTGGGCATTCATCCTTCTGCTTGCACTACTGATGGGGTCTGCGTGTGCAAGCAAGGCTCCACTCGGATGATTCTGGAGACCTCTGCAAGTTGGCTTGGAAAGCACTATAGAATGCACCAAAGGGGGACGCTGAAGACACAGTTGGCTCTTGTTGGCCTGGGTGCGGCCATGTGGTGAGTGACAAAAGTCACTTCCCCAATGTTGGCAGCACCTTGCCCTCTTTCCAGGACAGAGGCATGATGGCTGGGATAACAGTTTATTGTGATTTCCCCCTCAAAAAATAGAAAAGCAGTGGCAGAGAGGGTGTTGAACAAAATGTGAAGTGTATTAGTAGAGAGTCCAATTGATTTAATTTTATTTTTGAGGAATGCTAATTCCTTTAAGGCAAGAAGAAGTAGCACATAATTAATTAATGGCATTATCTGAGGTCTTATTTGCAGAGCAGAAGAATTAGTATGAAAACAAAGATATTGTCTCCTGCCTTAGTCAGGAGCTCACCTTGCTTCATTTGTGGTTTGGGTAGATATTTAAAGTGAAAGCTCAACAGATATCACAAAGAAGAAAGTTCTGCTTATGTTGGTCATTTGTTTCAAATTCTGCCCTAAGAAATAGGAGTTTAATTCCCCACTATAATGGTCCCTCCTCAGAGAGATTTTACAACTATATTATTATTGGTTAATTTTTAACTGTGTACATGTAGATTATTCACCTCTGAGCAATCTACAAACACTTTTTTTTAAGTCCCAGTACAGACAGTCTGGTCTAATGGAAAAAGCAAAGGAACAGGAGAAGACTATAATGCAGATTACAGTGCCTGACAAGCAGAAAATGATCAAGGAAGGCTAGTTGTCATTCCTATCGTTATTGCATGGTCACTAAATGTATAACTTTAGGCAAGCCACTCGAACTCTCTCATATGTAAAAGTGGTTTGCCTACATTCTGAAGTTATAAAAATCATAAATGAAGATAATAAAGAGAATTAAAAGTGTTTTGAAAAATTAAAAGTGAAAATCCAAGGCAAGACATTGTCATCTCCTTTATCTCCCAACAAGGAGCTGAACTGCATGGTCAGTAGTTGGTGCATGCTCCTGGAATGGTTTTATGATCACATGGTACATATAATGAAGTCAGGAAAATCCAACATAGGAGTGGGGTGGGGAATATAATTCACACTAATGCTAAATACAAGGCAATGACAGCTTTGCTCCAGTTTTGGTTTCTGAAGTCATAGCGTGTCTACCACCAGAAGGAACAACTGCCTGTAAGCTACATCCTCTGGCCTGGTGAGAGTGTGGAAAGTATTTCCACATTGGCCTCAGGAGGCAGCAGTTTCGGAGGGTTACCTGTAGGTTGTATCAACACTCAGGCTTGCTGCAGCTAACTCTGATGGAGATATCCACGCAGGTAACGTGTTGCCAGCCACCCATTTCGTCCACTCAAATAAGCCAGGCTCTATGCGGATCTTCAAGTGACTATCTTGTTGTAAACCTTAGAGGTAAAATAAAATGAAGATGAAGGAGTGTCACCATGTTCTCAGTGGAAAAATAAATTATAGGCCAACTTGTTACAGAAATTCTGAATAAATTAGCCATTCTCTTTTGTCTTGGGTGCTGTATGGTGCTAAAGGAAAGTGGAAGCATATGGATCTGGACAGGGTTTTCAATTTTTGTATGTTACAAACACATGAGATTAATACCCCGTCCATACCCCCAGGATGTAGGCCAGCTCTAAGTGGTATCTGATTTAAGGGGAAAAAACACAAGCTATTATTCATATAACTTATTCACTTCTATGACTATTATAATTCCTCTTTCTAAAGTAAATTCCATGATTATCTTACCAAGAAACTTCAGATATTCTCTTCACACTCACTACTCTACAACAGCTTACATTGTATTTGAATATCATGTAAATTATTCGTTTTCTTATCAGAAAACCCAGTGTTGAATATTACATGTACGCGTACACGGGTCCTGTGTTTTATTGTAGTGCAATTACCCTCAGAGTCGGGACTGTCCCTGCTTTGCTCTCTTTACATTGCATGTGGCCTCGTTTTTCTGTGCAAATTTGATACATGAACACCTTCTGGTAGTGAAGAGAAGGTTTACTTAAGAATAGGAGACTTAACTATACTGTCAAATTCTTTGTTGTCTTGTCTATTCCTGGCTCATTGGTTTGGTATAAGTGAACAGGTTGACTCTGTTTCTTTCAGTTTTCTTTCCAGTGAGATGAGAATGGGGATGCCTGTAACTCAAACTTGCACAGATTTTAGGGTGAAAGTGGAGTATCTTTATAGCAATGGTTCTTTTAAAGTCTTTCCAACTAAATCAAGAAACAAGGATGAGGCCGGCCCGTGGCTCACTCGGTAGAGTGCGGTGCTGATAACACCAAGGCCACGGGTTCGGATCCTATATAGGGATGGCCGGTTCGCTCACTGGCTGAGCGTGGTACTGACAACACCAGGCCAAGGGTTGAGATCCCCTTACCGGTCATCCTTTAAAAAAAAAAAAAAAAAGAAAAAGAAACAAGGATGATTAAGATTTGAGACTTCCAATAGTACTACTGCTGCTGGAAACAAGGCAAACAACAGATCAAAGCAGGGGAAACTATTTGACTATTTAAGTGTGAGGAAAGGATCACTCTCTATAAGCTCTAAATATTTTGCAAGCCTACAACTCATCCAAGAAAGCTTTAAATTCTCAAGAAAAACAGTATTAGTATACTCTCTTTTATCTGGGTTATGCTGCGAGAGTATGATTTTGTGTCTTGTGCAAGGTTGTCTTCTGAAAGAATTCTTGCTAAAAATTCCAGGTTCGAAGCTTTCAATTAGCTAATGTCCCAATACTCTAAGATAATTTGGATGTGGGGCTGCCTGGATACAGAAAGATGAAACAGTTGACTCTAGTCAACCTGAGAGTCTTACCTTTCAAGATATTGTGTGCAGTCTGAACGCAGCGTAGGGATGGGGAGGAATAGACGTGATCAATAATGGTGTTACTTTCTAATAAGGCTTCACCTGCAAAGAAAACCAAAGAAAAGTCAGTCTGATGGATTTACACAGCCTCAGCTTGATCCTCCTAGCGAGGGGTGCCCAGCAGACCCTGTAAGCCTCTCTTTCCTAGTGGAGGCTCATGAGGAGTCAGTAGTGTCAGTCTTGTTTCCAGCGATCCCCTCATCAGTGTTTCTATGCCAGAGGCCAAGCAAGAGACCCCTTCGTGCCTTTTTCTTTCCTTCTCTCTGGTGCTAACAAGAGGTAAAGTGTCCCTCTAGGAAAGACCTAGAAGCAGAATAATGCTCTGACTTCAAACAAGATAATGCTCTAACCTCTATCTTGTGATAAAGGTGAGAGGGTTTATATTGTGAAAATTAGGCCTTGTTTTAATTTTATTCTGTGCTAAACAAAATCTCAACTTGTCATATTCTTGGACACCAGAGATAAATCCCAACACCCGATACTTCAACACTTTCCTCATGGAATCCACTTCTGTTCTCTACCGGATAGAGTCCAAACGCCTTACTGGGATGATCGAGGTCTTCCCTGAACATGTCTTTATCTGTCTCACCAGGCTCATCTCTTGCCCTGCCTCACCATTTACACTGTAGAAACAAGACAGGCTTCCCCTGTCCTTTCAATGCTGTTTCTCACTTATGACTTTGTTTATGTCATCCTTCCCACTGAGAACGCCCTCCCTCCCTCCTGCTCCTTCTCTGCCCCACTCACTTCTATCGCAGGTCCCAGCTCACCTCTCTTCCTCTCTTGTATGTCTTTTTTTTTTTTTTTCCTTTTTTTGTCTTTTTTCATGAATGTAAAACTCTATGCATAGCTCTATTACTAAGTATACCATATTGTATGATATTTATGCACGCATAAGTTTATTTCCCTGAGGGTGGGGACTCACATTCAGGTCCCCAACTTCTAGCCCAGTACCTTGCACAAAGAAAATGATCAATAAATATCTGTGAAATGACTGAACAAGACAAGGTGCTGTCTCTGCATGGCAGGTAGGGAATGGGCCTGCAGAGACCTGAGCATCTGAAAGTATCAAGTGGCCTCCATAAATTCAGCAACTCCAGGGCTCCCTCTTCCTTGCCCTCGCCCTATTCTTCTTTTTCCTTTTTTTTACAATTTTACCATTTTTATTTTATTTTTTTGCAAAGTACATTTTTTATTGGTTGTGAATATTCATGAGATGCAAAGCTGATTGTCACCACTCATGCCCAAGATGTGATGGCCAGACCTTGTCCTCTTCTTACAGCTATGTTGGCGGCTGCTGTGATCTTGAACTAGAAGCTGACCTGTTCGCTACACCAGTGACATAAGTAAACCCAGCCTGACCTTCCCCGTCCTTGGATCGTACACTCTCCTTGATAGGGACCACACCTTATTCACTTTGGGAAACCAATCCAGTGCTGAGCACAGTCTCCTGAACCGAATTGTTGTGTAATAAATTCCATTTAGATTGGGAAAATATATTACTTCTAGGAAAGTTATAGAAACCCCCTAGTGGCACCAGTCTTTGAAGGAGGAGCCAGGACACCCTGTGCACCACTCCAGGACACTTACCCACTAGTCTTGCTTGCATACATCCGAACACGGTGATGGGGGCATCTTTCTCGTAATCCCGGAAGCCACCACTGCGCGGAGGTAAGCTGAGAGGCATGTTCAGGTTGGTGCGTATGTAGCGGCCTGGGGAAGAGAGGGTCAGACGTGGGGGGGCTACAGGAGTGTCTCGTTTCCTTAGGACTTCCCTTGCTGATCCTGACACTTTCTCCACCTCCGTTCCTCCTGACCAAAGAGACCAAACTGAGCTGTCTGGAGCTGATGGAAAACATTGAGACTGACACTTTCTTCGGTAGAGTGACTTGGAATCCACTCTTCCATTCTGCTGACAAAAATGATGAAAGTAGTTTCTAAGTGATTAAAGTAACAACCAGACACTCTAAAGCAGGTGGGATTCTCTGATAAACAAGCCTCTCTATCTTAAAATGAAAATGGAACAAAATGAGCCAAAGCCATTTAATGGAGGGAACTCTGGCCATGGGATCAGGACATGTCTCTGAGGCTGACTTTGCCATATGACTGTGGGCAAGACATCTACCTTTTTTGGTCCCTGGTCCCCCATTTTAGATAGTGGGAATAAGGACACTATAACCTCTTCCCTCAAACTCAAGACAACGAGGAAGGACTTCCAGATTACAGGCATTTTCTATAGCACACAAGCCCATAAATGACTCCATCTGGATAAATGTAGCTTGACTATGCCCCCTAGAGGCCATGATGGGTATGCCAATGCTGAGTAGGCCAACAAACCACTTACCTTTGGCATCAAAGCACTGGGACAGCCAGTACTTCCCAAACACCACATCCATCCTCTCACCGTGCCGACATACGAAGAGGCATCGCTTTTGAGGGCCAGGCTGGCTGTTGACCCTCAGGGGCTGCAGAGAAAAAAGAGCTATTAGTGAGGAAACATGTGGCAAAGTAGGCATGTCCTGGAGCCAGGTGCCAGGTGAGCTGAGCTCTGGTACAAGTTATGCTGAGGTAGGACCTGGACAAGCCCCATAACTGCCTTGGATTTAAGTTGGCTTATCCGTAAAATGAGGGTGGGAAGACTCATCCTACAGACCTCACAAGTTATTTTGAGGCTCAAATGAGATAAACAGGTGCTTTGCAAAATAAGAAGGTTATAAAAATATTATCATTGCTGCTGTAGTTGTCATTAGAAGGAGTAGAATTTGGCCAATACTAAAATATGAAGGTCACTTGAGTTACAGCTCAGAGACACTAATGTAGAGATAGTGTCTAGTGGGAAGCTTCTTTCCCAAAAAGGACACTTCATCAACTTGTTCAGGGAACAAGGACTTCTGTTGTCACAAATGTGTCCTCCTCATCTCTAAAGGCTACCCAGACCACCACATGGTCGTGGTCTGCTCCAGCAACGAGGCCCTGTTTTGTCTATTCTAATCACCACGTGGGCTCTGTTGTCTGACTACATACACGTTGGTGTTCCCAGAAACGGTTCATGAAGGACAACTGCCACCTTCTGGGTGATGAAATAGGTAACTCTGGTCAAAGGAATGTCCAAATGACTTTGGTGTCTGTAACTGCTGGGTGGAACCTTACAGATGTTTCTACATTCTTCTTACTGACACAGTCAGCAGTTCCCAGTTTCCTCAGTGTTCCTAGGTCAGCGTTGGCCAGCACTTTACATTAGCTTCTAGTTGCTCTAACAAGGTTAATGTGTAGAACAGTGGCAGGAAATGTCCTATATGTTTCCCTTAATTCAAACCCGGGGATCCAACCAAATGGTCTACTCTCTTGATCCTCAACTGCTTGAACTTTCAACTTGCCTTTGTCTATGCTGTTTAACGACTACTCCCCACTCCCCCATCTCCAACCTTTCTTGGAAAAGCTAACATATATGGAGCACTCACTATATGCCAGCTATTGTATTAACAGCCTTATTTTACTATTTCCTTTAATCTTCATGACAATCTACAAAATAGATACAACTATGGGCATTATTCTTACTTTAGAGATAAAATCTTCTTCTCCTCTCTCTGTGGAACAACCTAGACTCAGGTGCTGGATGTCACTGTCAGTCCCACTCATCTGGCTCTTCCTCACCTTGAATTTATGTATCTCTTTTATAATCTTGTGTACTTTCTCCCCCAGAGATCAGGGACCCCTTGGAGGCAACGAGGACAATGCCTCATTCTTGTAAATAGGTTCTCAGTCAACCTGAGTAGAGGTGAGGGTGGGACCCTGACGATCAGCCTTACCTGCATGGGCTGGCAGATGATAGTTAGGGGTGGCGTCTCCCCCAGTCCCTGGTCCTCGTACTGCCGTCTCTCCAATGCTCCATCACCAAATGTGAGAGAGTTGGACGATGATGTATTTAAGATCGAGTAAGACCTGCGGAGGAAGGTAAGGAGATGTTAACTGCTCTGGTCAGGAGTCATCAGCACTTCATCCTGGGGCCCATCGGGAGTGTGGGAATGTGTACAAAACACTCTCTGGGTAGTGCCATGGCTGGGAACGCTGAGCGGGGGGCACCCCATTCCTGGGGAGGAATATCTAGTTTTACACTAAAGTTAATAAAGCAGGAGTAGACGGATTTTCATACGGAGAACAGATGTGTCATCCCTGTGGGCAGAGATGGGGCACAGTGATTTGTGTTTATTAGGATACCACGGGCGTGGCTGGCACCAAAGGCATGTTTCATAAGGAGGTATCAATTATGGACCATTGTTTCCAGCTATTTTTCTGGCTCAAAAGAAATAAACAGTTCCTATTGCCTTTTATTTTTTTCCATGGTAATTTTCATCTGAAGTGAAAGAGCGACAAAGGAACGTTACCACCTCCACTACTTTTACCTGTGGCTCAGCATGGTCAGGGAAACTTCAAGGCCATTATCCCCTATTCCACCCTCTTCAGTCTCGGAACCCTATCTGCACCTCAGCAACACCTCCAGCAAGATGATTAAAGACAGAATTGTGGCGGAGCAGAGCATTCTCACCAGATGTTTAGAGCTGTGAGCCAAGAACTCTCATTTCTGAGTGTAATGCTGTAACTACGGAAGCCCCAAAGAGGTCTTGCTGAAAGGAAGACAGTCAGAACATGCCACGTTTAAATCATCGTGAATAGTAAGACCTCCAAAAAGCTTTATCTAATAAACATTGCTATTTAAATATAGTTTTTAGGCAAATCCAATGAACCTCTTTTGTATCACTGCATAGCGTCAAGGCAAAGTGTTTAAATTTTAGATTTCTCGTTTCTTTACAACATGGGTAGCCATATGTCCCAGTTTGCCCAGGACAGTCCTGGTTTGTTTCCATCGATCCAGCAATCTGTCCAGTTTAGCACCTGTTCTGGATTATTCATTTTTAACACTGTATAGTATTATTATTAGAATTTTATATTTGAAAAGAACTTTTCATATTCATCAATGTGATAAAACTAACTGGTTAGTAAACTTTTTTCAAAAAATTATGATTTTAATATCTTAGCACCCCTTAACTCTCAGAAGTGGTCCTTTGTTGGCTATACACAATAGACTCATTGTACTTATAAACAAAGGTCTCAAAAGCCTCATAACCTGAAAAAGTGATTTTCAGTCCTTGTGTATATGAAAATCACCAGGGGACCTTTAAAAAACACTCACGCCTGGGCCCTACACATTGTGATTCACTAGGTGTGGGGTGGGACCCAGGGACCCATCCTTCAGCAAAGCTGCATCAGTAAGTCTGATGTGTAGCCAGATGAAACCTGTTATGGTAAAATTAAAGTAACGGTAGCCCCAGGAAATTTTGGCCACTCACACAGTCTAATAGACCGGCTATTCTCCTTTATTTTAAACTGAGATTTTTCCAAACATCACACAATTAAAGAAAATTCAGTTTTACTGTCTGATTCATCAGAGCTTCAGGGCTCAGCGTGTCTGGCTCTCTGGAATCGTGCTGACATCTTGCTCATACATGTCTCTCATTTCTTTATTTCAGCCACGAAGACACGAACAGGATGCCTTCTCTCCCTCCTGCCGCTCACTTGGCAAGGAGAACAACAGCCACCTTCCCTTCTTCACTGTCATTGTAATTAAAGGACCTGACTCACTCTGGGACAGCTTGGACTGTCAGTTCCAATAAGACAACAGTCAGATGCTTTATGTTGAGAGCAGTGTAGGAAGGAAGCCAGGCCTGACACCGGAGCATCTTCACAGGCCCCCGGGAGGTGCTATCTCCTCCCTATAACACACTAGGCCGGTGATAAGCCCAGAAGGGCCAGGTGGCTCCCCCTCCCTGCAGAGCACACAATGGGGCTTCACCAACTAACAAATACCTAGAGATACTCAGAATCAGGCAAGACATGCAGTGAGGATGGCAGGAAAATACTTCCTTAGGAGGGACTCAGAGAGCTGAGAAGCGCTGGATGGGGAGGGGTATGAAAGGTCATTGACTTGAAGTCCCCACTTGCTGCCCACATGCCACCTGGGTCATGCTTGAGCACCGCCCCTGCCCCAGGGCTCTTCCTCCTGAGTCCATCTTTGGTCAGGGGTGGGAGAAGCTCTGTCTCACAGTGAAGCTGCATTCCACCTGCTGGAGTCATTTCCACCTCTGGAGTTAAATAGGTAAGTGCACTTAGTTCATCTCTAGGATTGCTTTTGTGAAAGAGGCATTTGATCTGATGGGCATGTATGTGAGAACATGATCCTGACATTGATCCATGGAAAGCTTAGCCCTTTCTTGCAGTCTTCACAACACTGCAGGAGGTCAGTGCAATTATTATCCCCACTTTACAGATAAGCAAACAGAGGCTCCAAGAAGTAATGTAACTTGGCCAAGGTCACACATCTAGTAAGGAGGAGAGTTAGAATTTGAATCCCAGACTACTGGAATCAAAACTCAAATTCTTAATTACAATGTCCTAATGTCTTTTTTTTTTTTTTTTTC